CCGCCGGAGTCATCATGAACACCGTCATCATCCGCCCAGGTCCACTTCCTGTTCAGTTCAGGTCCACTTCCTGTTTAGTTCAGGTCCACTTCCTGTTTCCGCCCAGGTCCACTTCCTGTTTGGGTTCAGGTCCACTTCCTGTTCGGGTTCAGGTCCACTTCCTGTTTGGGTTCAGGTCCACTTCCTGTTTAGTTCAGGTCCACTTCCTGTTTGGGTTCAGGTCCACTTCCTGTTTGGGTTCAGGTCCACTTCCTATTTAGTTCTTCAAGTATTGAATGAAAAAATATATACAAGAAATGATTTTAAAATAATAAATTTCAAGCAGAAGAAACTTTTCTAAATATTATAAAAATGTTAAACTGACAGCAGATTTAAATGTAGAAGTTAAATTATTTCTAGTGAAAATATCTGATGTTTATTAATAGCTTATGATAGAAAATGATTTTTGTTTTTCATTCAGTGAGTTTTTCAATGTCGGGTTGAGGAACCGGAAGTTTCTCTCAGCTTCACTCTGAACTCACCTGTCAGTCTGACTCAAGCTCCGCCCCCTTCCAGGTAAATACCTGTGTCTGGAGCTGGACGTCATCCCCGTCCTCCTCCGGCTGCTGTCAGAGGAGGAGGATGAGGAGCGGAAGAAGAGGAGGAAGACTCTGGTCATCTACTGCCTGAGGGCCCTTACGGGGCTGTCCGAGGCCCCGGAGGGCCGCGTCATCCTGAGCAATGAGCTCCCCCTGCTGGAGCGGAGGAGCAACGAGCAGGACGAGGACGTGCGGCGCGCGGCGCAGACCGCCATCAAGGTGGTCACCTGGAAGCCCTGACCGAACCACCGACCCGGTTCTGCTGGCCCAAAGGCCGGAAGGGTCCACCCGACAGGAAATATAGAACTACAAAACTACCGGAGTTTATTATTTTGGTCATTAGTTTCTAAAATGTTAGTTTAATAATTCAGATCATTGGGATCAAATAAACATTTACATATATTTTATATTAAAATTATTTAAAAAATGTTTTTATGAAATAAGAGAAAAAGAAAACATGTCTGTGAGTTTTATCACTAATTTGTTTTAAATATAAACTTTAAGTTAATTTTTAGTTAACTTCACTTTAAGTTAAGTTCAGAACCAGGTCCTGGTTCTGGTCCAGGTTCTGGTTGTGGTTTTGGTCCAGGTTCTGGTTGTGGAACTGGTCCAGGTTCTGGTCCTGGTCCAGGTTCTGGTTCTGGTTCTGGTTCTGGTCCTGGTTCTGGTTCCTCACATTAAGGTCAGCAGCTCAGACTCTGATGGTTCTGAAAGTCCGACGCTCCTGAGATCCAACCGGGTCGGTTCTGATGGAGGAATCGGATCAATAATCATTAATCTATTATTAATTCTGTCGCAGCGCCATGCCCTCCCCCCCCCCCCACAGTGGGCCGGTCCGGATGAGGGGGGCGGGGGGGCGTGTTGTCACCGCGCGCGCGTGCCCGTGCGGTATATGTGGGAGTGAACAGCAGCAGCGGAGTCATCGGTCGGAACCGGAGCCGCTGGATGCTTCTGCCCAGCGGGACGCGAACAGGTGAGGCGCTCCTTCTGCCGCTGCGGGAAAGATCCTCTGCTGTGTGTGTGTGTGTGTGTGTGTGTGTGTGTGTGTGTGTGTGTGTGTGTGTGTGTGTGTGTGTGTTGGGGGCCGCAGCCTGTGTTTATCTGCAGCGTTCAGCCGCAGCAGCAGCGGGGAGAGCCTCCGTCCCTTCCCGGCTCAGGTCGCCCTCCGGCCGGCCAGCCGGCCCGCTGACCGCCGGGCTGCGGAGCTCAGCAGCGGGCAGAGCGGCTGCCTCCTCCCGCTGCTGGCGGCTCTCCGTCAGGCTGTGGAGCTCCGATGTTCTGATGACGTGAAATTATGTAAGGAGCTGCTTGAAGTGAGCCGGAGGATTAACGGGGAGGATGGATTTATGTAACAACTCTTCATCCTCCTCCTCCTCCTCCAGCATCCCCGCAGAGCCGCGGCTCCGGCGGGGAGCCGCGGCTCTGCGGGCCGCTGCTGCAGCTCAGAGCTTCTGGTGAAGTGACTCCGCTGACCGAACCATTTCTGTCCTCCGTTTCCTGGTCAAACATGACATCATTAATGCTTCACTTCTGATCTGATCCTCCTAATAATGTCAGATTTTTGCTTTTTATTCAGATTATTTTCATAATTCAGAAGTTATTCGGAAAGTTTCTGATTCCTGATGTTCATAAATATTAAAAACCAAACAGGAGTTTCGATGCTTTCTGCAGCCGGGCGGTTCTGGACGGTTCTGGGTAAAATGATGTTGGGTTGCCATGGAAACAGCGGGGCTGGTTCTGTCGGGTGTCACGATGAGGTTCGGTACGCGGGCAGGTTCTGGGTCAGAACCAGCAGCGCCCGAACCGGGTTCCCGGTTCTGGTTCTAAATGGTTTCTGGAATCTTAACGGAACCGCTGCTCCAGATAACTGGACCCGGTCCTCATACTGACAGATTCAGATTTGGATCAGAACCGAATCAAAGTTTGTCCTGCTATCAGAACCTTCCGGACCGATGTTGGATCAGATTCAGTTTCAGGAAGCAGAAAAAAAATCCAACCAGAACCGGTAAGAGAACAAACTGGACCCGGTTCTGTTGGACCGGTCAGCCATGATTCAGCTCATTCAGCCAAAAACAGAAACATGGAGTTTATACTAAATGTTAGAAAGTTAAACAGTTTAAACTGAAAGTTTATCAACGAACAGAAAATAAAAATTTATTTCATTTCTGACTGAAACTTTACAAACTATGGAAAACATCCAGAGAGGAAGCAGGAGGTTCAGAACCCAGAACCGGGCTCTCTGTGTGGTTCTGTGTGGTTCTGTAGAACCGGGCCGGTTCTGGCCGGTTCTGTCTCAGTCCAAACAGAGGAAGCGGAGCGGCTGCAGCATCAAAGCCTCTGAGGGGAAACGCGGCGCCGCCTCCTGCAGAGGAAACCTCTGATGTTCTGGTTCTGGACCTGGACTCTCCTGGTCAGAACCTCGACCAGGTTACCGTAGCAACAGAGCAGACACTTATCTGATCCCATGAAGAAAAGATTTATTAATTTATTCATCTCAGTGAGGAATAGCTGAAACTATGGGCTGGGCTTTGACTAGACCCCTCCAGCTGCTTGTTTGGGCTCATGGTTCTGCTGGTGGCCCAGTTTGGACTCACACTGGGTCACCATCACTCTGCCACCGCCATGCTTTAACTTTAACCCTGTCCTGACCTTTAACCTGCCTGCAGAGGAGACGGAGCTCATTCCTCTGAGCTTCCTGCTCTGACCTCTGACCTTCAGCTGAACCAGCTGGGACGGCTGCACTGCAGTATGTTTTTATATTTTTTATTAGAAATCTCTGATCACATTTAAATAAAATAAACTCATAAACAACCTTCATGTTGTTCCACTGATGAAACGTTTTTCTCGTTAAACGAACTCCAGAGTCTCTGGAACATTATAAGTTTTATCTACAGTGGGATCGGATCTCTGCACTGTAGAACAGAACCAGACGTTTCTGCTGCAGGTAAACAGTTTGTGTCTGGGTCCAAACTGATTGGTGGTTACCGCGGCAACCAGACACCCTGATTGCTGGTTTCACTCCGGCTGTTTGGGTTTCATTTAAATGTTTAATCTCAGTCTGGATCTGGTTCTGTTGGGTCGGCCCGGTTCTCCTCCCCTTCAGCCTGGAGCCCATTTGATTCTGGCTGAGTGGCTCTGATTTCGGACAGTCCCTGAACGCCTCTCTGCGTTCTGACGGTACCTGAATACCTCAGATTTCGGACGGTCCCTGAAAGCCTCACTCAGCTCCTCTATTTCTGGAAACATGACTCATCTGCTCCCAGATTACACAACCAGAACCTGGTTCTGCTCCGGTCCGTCGGGCCGCAGCAGGAAGACGTTCAGCCAGACGATCACTGATCACTTTGATTATTGATCAGGGATCAAATGTTACGATCTTTTATGTTTCACAATTATTCTGAAGAAACCAGAACAAAACCCAGGATGTAATGTTCTGTCCATCCATCCATCCATCCATCCATCCATCCATCATTAGATCCAGTGAGGTTGTTTCTGTCTTTTCCTTTATTTCTCATTCGTTTCTCTGCCCTTCCTGTTTATTGACCACATTAATTAAACGTTTCTCTGATGTTTAATTGATTTTTCCCAGAAAATCTGAACCTCTGAATTATAAAGACTTGATTCTGACTGGAGTTTCTCCTCCTGTTCTTAATAAGCCAAACTCAGAAACATTAAACCTTTAAAACGTCTTCAGACTTTTTGTTTTGCAGCACAAATGTTCAGATTCGGTTCATCTGGAGGTCAAAGGTCAAGATAAAAGCATCTTCAGCTGTTTGTGGTTCCGGTTCTGTGACTTGTTTTTGCTCCAGATCAGATAAAACTCCAGAAATAACCGACGTGTTGCTGCAGCAGCCAGGCCTCTTATCTGAGAGCGCAGCAGGTGGCCGGGGGGCGCCGGGGGCCCGGTGGGGTCCGGTGGGGTCCGGTGGGGTCCGGCTCTGCTGCAGGAATGTTAAGCTGAGCCGATAGACACATTCAGGTCCGTCAGGAAACCAGAAACACGAAGAATCGTAGAGAGGAAGCAGGGAGAGAAGAAAGGAGGAAGTTAGAGAGGAAACGGTTTGAAAGGACAACAGGAAGGTCTGAGGAATGAAACAGGAAGGAAGCAGGAGGCAGAGTGAGGAAGCATGTGAGAGGAAGAGAGGAGAAACGACAGAATACGGATAAAAGGAAAAACTGTTGTGATGGAAACAAAGACGGGATTAAAAACCAGCTGAAACAAAACAGGATCTGATCTGACAGATTGTCTCAGTCGGACTCAAATCCTGCTTTATCCAGCTGCTGTTGCCATGGCAACCGGGCCAATCAACAGCTGGACGGCGAGAAGGAGGCCAGTGTGTTTAAACTTTATTAGCATTTCAGTGGAAAAACAGAAATGTTTCAGAAAACCAGAAAAAAATTTCCTCCAGTTTTTTGTTTTAATGTAAAAATGAGGAGAAAAAGTTTCGTGTCAACGTTTAGCTGCTGGAGACGAGAAGGAAAGAAAATCAACAAAAACACAAAAAACTCTGACTTCCTAAAAAACAACAAAAAACTCTGACTTCCTGTCAATCAGAACCAACGGCTGGAAGACGCTGACGTCTGCGTCGACCAATGAGAGCGGCTGATAGAGAGAGGCTGGGCGTGGTCGCTTCAGCTGTGGGCTGAGATAAGAGACGGGACACACACTTACACACACACACACGTACACACACACAACCACACACACCAGGCTGTAGCTGAGTTCTTGTGATTTCATAAATTCCCAGTAAACAGAAACTTCAGGCTGAAACTGAACTTTGTTCATCGACCAATCAGACGTTGTTTCATCATTCAGTGTTTATTTTTTCTGTTGATGTTTTTAAAAGATTTCATATTCATTAAAGAAATAAAAAGTATTCAAATACAATAAAAACATTGAATCCTCAGATTTAATTTTTACCTCCAAATAACAAGAAAAAATAAATAAATTGAAACAAAAATCTGTCGCCTGCTGCCTTCAAACACCTAAAATATAATTAAATTAAAATGGCCGAACATTATAAACTGCTGCTTTTATTCCACCTTACTGAGACTGATGGAGAACCTGTGGTGCTTTCAGGAACAAATTGGACATCAGAAAGAGACAATTATAATATTGATTTGACAGGAGAGAAAACAAATTTGTTTTTCTAATGTTCAGTGAATGCACCACGATATGAAGCTAAAACTGGCTGGGAACAGCTGGCGATGCCTTCATGTTCCATAGGAACAGCTGGCGATGCCTTCAGGTTCCATGGGAACAGTTGGTGATGCCTTCAGGTTCCATGGGAACAGTTGGTGATGCCTTCAGGTTCCATAGGAACAGGTGGTGATGCCTTCAGGTGGGAACAGCTGGTGATGCCTTCAGGTTCCATAGGAACAGCTGGTGATGCCTTCAGGTTCCATGAGAACAGCTGGTGATGCCTTCAGGTTCCATAGGAACAGATGGTGATGCCTTCAGGTTCTGTAGGAACAGCTGGTGATGCCTTCAGGTTCCATGGGAACAGTTGGTGATGCCTTCAGGTTCCATAGGAACAGGTGGTGATGCCTTCAGGTTCCATAGGAACAGCTGGTGATGCCTTCAGGTTCCATGAGAACAGCTGGTGATGCCTTCAGGTTCCATGGGAACAGTTGGTGATGCCTTCAGGTTCCATGGGAACAGCTGGCGATGCCTTCAGGTTCCATGGGAACAGTTGGTGATGCCTTCAGGTTCCATAGGAACAGGTGGTGATGCCTTCAGGTTCC